ATATCATGAGTTGACATCAAAGGAAAATCAGAATTGTCTTCAACATCTAAAGAAATAGACCCACTTTCTCCTAGTATAATAAAGCTTGGATTTTCAATTTGAAATCAAGATTGGGAGATATTATTTTGTGAGTCATCGATTTGAAGAAAATCCTAAAAAATAATAGTTGAATCTTTATTTTGTCTCCCACCTTGAAGTTGAGATATACATAATAGTTGTAAATAAAAAAAGGTGATATCTATGGTAACTAAATTTTTTTTAGAAATAGGATCAAAACATTTATACCCCTTTTGAGTAGAAGCATAACAAACAAACACACATTTTTAGCTCGGGGCTCAAGTTTTCCTTGACTATGCTATAAATGTAAACAAATGCACACTCAAATATCTATAAAGGTGAAAAAGGCAAGGACCGATTTGTTAGGTAAATTTTATGAACATCAAAAAGTGTTTCAATGTTTAAAATTTTATTCAATATTTTATTTATGTGAAATATAGCAGTAAAAACAACATCACCCTAAAGATTTGTTGACATTTAATTTCTAAATAGCAATGCCCGAGCAAATTTGAGTAAATATTTATTCTTTCTTTCAACCACAGCATTTTGTTGTGGTGTGTGTGTGTTTTGATAAACTATCCCTTTTCAAAAAGAAAATGTTAACTTAAAAATGTTTCAAAATATTCTTGTACATTAGGAATATGCCCGCACAGTTCTCGAGAAGACACTTGGAATATATAAGAAGATTCGTGTTCGGACATTTGTCATGAAGTCGGTCGACCAATGAAGCCGACCGAACTAAATACTGACCGACCCAACGGACACTTTGCAACCATGTAGCACTCTCTCAACCGCCGTCTGCCATTACAAAAGATAAACATTCAACTAAAGGTCATTCTATCGAACAAAGATTTCTTATCTAACCGAGTGAATATGGGTTGACCAATTGAATACCAAATGTCTATGCCTGACAGTTACAAATATGAAGCGACGTCAGGATAAAAAATAGATGTATAATGATGCCAACAACGGTTACAAGGCCAGGATATGTATTATTTACATAAAATAATTTAACGGTGTAAAAGATTATAATTTATAGTAACATTTCTAGTAAATTGAGGGAAAATAATGTAATTTGTAATACCTTACTGAAGAGTTATAAATAAAAAGATCATTTTTTACTGGAAGAGATCCCAGAAACTTTATAAAAACCTACGTATTACTTGTGTCTTATTTTCTTTCCTTCATTTGACCAAAACTCCATTTCTGGGGCGTGATCAAAAATACAATTTAAGCTTCAACATTCTAAAAGGTGCGGTGGGCGTTGAGTCATGCTTCAACAAGAGGAGCGCATCAAGGTGAACGAAGAAGCATCCAATGTGAAGTCCGTTCGGGAAATCATGCAACAACAAATCCAAGGGCTTCATGATCGAATAACAAGTCAAATTGTGAAGCTGACCATAGTGATGCTAGAGGGAAGGGGGCAGCCTCTCTCGCAACCTGATCCACCAACACCCGAAGCCTAAGCTCAGTAGGCAACCTAAGCCACAAAGCGAATGGAAGAGTCCTAGTACCAGGACAGTGCCAGATCCACGCTAAAGGGAGGACCAAAACCATTAGCAATAAGAGTCTATCATTAGATCAACAATGTGTTCACCCATCATGTTGTGGAAGTCGAGCCACCAAAGAAGTTTAAGGTTCCCCCTTTGGAATTGCAGAGCAACCCTGTTGACCATATTGCGCCCTTCGAGTCGTCAATCTACCTTCTCAAGATCTTCGACACATTAAAATATTGGTTGTTTTACGCGACATTGAGAGATTCAGCTCTTAGGTGGTTCAACGAACTTGCTGCAGAAATTATCAATTCCTTCAGAGATTTCAGGAAGTTGTTTTTGGCGCAATTCGCTAGCACCCAAAAGCCACAGAAGGACTCGAATTCTTTGTGATATGTGAAATAAGGACCAAACATAAGCCTACAAACATACGTTAAACCATCTAAGAGCAATAGTCGATCGTTGCTAAGGCAACCCTGACGAGTTTACGGAAATCTGAGATGTTGGCTGAACTCCAGGAGTTGGCCAAAGACCACATCACAACCAAGGAGTATATGAATGAACCGATTTCTAAAGGGAAGAAATCGGATCGATAAACGGGCAAGAACCGCTCGAGGGATGATGAATGGAGAGAAAAAGATGGCTAGCGTCCAAAACGCGAAAGAGGGCAATCGTCACTAAGGGATAAAGAAGACGAACGAGACGAACGCAAATGCAAACGATCAAATGACCGGTTTATGGGAGACCGAAGGACATCCAAACACACCGTTGCGAGTTTCATTGATGGAACTCAGACGCGATATAATATAAGGAGTATTTCTGAAAGGCGACTCCAGTGAAAATAGAGGCTTCCCTTCAAAATCTCAACAAATACTGTAAGTATCATAGGGACCACGGACATTACACTGAAGAATGCAGACACCTTCGTAGCCAAGTGAAGGAGATAATCCAGACCGAGAAGCTCATGGAGTTTGCAGCCCCAGAGGCCCACACTTGGCGAAATGGCAAGACTCCAGGAAATAGAGACTGCCAGAGCCAACACTATTCATATAACAGGGATTGTGCCAGCGGTATTGGGAGGCGATTCATACACCAGAGTGGACTAGAAAAGAAGTTGATTGGGGAGCTACTGTGGTGTGGCGACTATTACGAAAAGGAAGTCCCATCCCCCAATCAGTTTCACCGATGCAGATCTTCCCATAGTCGTGAACCCTTATATTGATGTCATTGTTATTTCATCACTCAACAGTAACTACCAGATAGAGAGTATCATGACTGATACTGGGAGCTCAGAGAACATTTTATTCCGAGCCGCGTTCGAAAGATGAATTTGAAACCAATCGGTTAATTGCACCTCCAGGCCCATTGTGTGAATTTTCTGACAGACGGAAGGAGGCACTTGAAGTAATACCACTTAGTCACCTGCGGAGAAGGTGATAATCGGTTTACCAACATGAAAGACTTCACGGTGATCGACTCTCCACCAATTTACAACTCAATACTCGGTCACCCTCTCAACAATTTTTGAGTAGTGGTGTCAACATATCATGTAGCTTCGAAGTTCACCTATGACGGGGCGATAGTTATTGTACTTGGAGATCTGGAGCAATCCCGAACGTGTAATTTTTTTAGCGAATCAACCCTAAACCTTACAATGAAAATTCCCATAGGTCTCGGAGATCCAGGTAATTTTTTTCTGATCAGTGAAACTTTTGATGCAGGTCACAAAGATATGCTGATCCAGATTCTCCAAGAACACAGTGATATTTTCGCATGGTCAACAACTGAAATGCCATAGACGTGGCTTTTCACAAGCTCAAAACTAATATAACCGCCCGACCAATAAAACAAAAGCTCCGGTCGACTGCAAGGAATTTAAGAAACTTTTGGAGGTTGACTATATTCGAGAAGTTCAAAACCCCTCCTGGGTTGCGAAAGTATAATGGCAAATGGAGAATGTGTGTGGACATCACGAATTTGAATGTTGCTTGCCTAAAGGAAAACTATCCACAGCCCAAGATTTATGCTCTGGTGGACTCTACTATAGGTTTTCTAGATGTTTTTTCTGGTTATCACCAAATCAAAATGCACACGGTAAATGCGGAGAAAATGACTTTTATTACCAATGATGGGTTGTTTTGTTTTACAGTAATGTCCTTCAGGCTGAAAAATACTGGTGTAAGTTATCAGCATCTAATGGAAGTAATATTTTCCAAGCAGGAAATAAGAAACATTAAGGTCTATGTGGATGATGTTTTAGTAAAAAGTAAGTCGACCAAACAACATTTGTACGATTTGAAAGAAACCTTCCAAACGCTAATGAAGTTTAATATGAAATTGCACCGTTGAAATGCACATTTGGATCTTCGAGGGGGAAATTCTTGGGCTACCTCTTGATACCCGAAGTCATTAAGGTTAATCCCGAGAAAGTGAAGGCACTCCTCAACATGCTTTCCCCCGGAACACCAAGGAAGTACAAAAGTTGATCGGCCAAATATCAGCCCTGTCGATCTATTTACAAGTCATGAGACAAATGTGTCGTCTTCTTCAAAGTACTAAGAAAGGCAAAAAATTCGAGCAAATGAATGAATTTAAACAAGCTTTCTAGGATTTGAAATAGTCATTAATCTCTCCATCGTTGTTGCAGAGTCCAAAGCCAAAGGAGGAACTTTCAGTTTGCTTAAGAGTCGGCCCGGAAGCTATTTGTTCGGTCCTTGTTCGAGAAGAGTCGGGGAAACAATTTCCCTTCTATTACACCAATCGGGTCCTCAAAGGGGCCGAAATAAGGTATTCACTTATGGAGAAACTAACATTTGCTCTTATTATTTCTGCTTGCAGACTTCGGCCATATTTCCAAACCCATTCGATTAAGGTGGTCACTGATCATCCTCTTAAGTCTATACTCTTTCTATTAGAATATTCGAGCCAATTATTAAAATGATCCGTAGAGCTCAATGAATATGACTTACATCCCTTGAATGGCGATAAAAGCTCAAGTTGGAGTAGATTTCCTAGCGGATTTCTCCGAATCGAGTGAAAGTAATGTCGAGCTCTCTCTCCCTCCCTCCCTCCCACCCAATGTGTGTGTGTGTGTGCGCGCGCGTGCGTGTCTGTGAACATTTTAACTGCCTCAAAAAAGTTATTAATTTTGAGCGGAAAAAGCCTAACCCAAGTAGGTTAGGTACACTTGGCAATGATGACAATGATAATGTTCAGGACTGACTTCTTGAGTAAAAAGCAAAAAAAAAAATTTCTCATTTGGAAAAAAAAATCAATGAATAAACAATTAAGTTAGCAACAAAAAAACACTGAATTAAAAAACTATTATGAACATGCTTTAGATTAAAAAAAAAACAGAAAAAACATTTGTAGTCTGAACATATTAATGGTAAAAATCCAGCTATAGTTAAAAAATTGGAGAGTCGAGTCTGAAATGACAAAAGACCTTACCCATCCCCACACAAGATAAGATGCCCACCACTCTTGATTTGTTGCACAAACTTCCTAAATATGGATCGTACATGCTCCTAAATGTGAATGAACATTACATTAGAGCGTGTATGGTTGAGGACGATATCAGATGACAATAAATTACTCTAATGTAACAATATCATATTGGGGCCTAGAGCTTTATGTCAAGTAATTGAATAAGCATTTTAAGGATGGGGGATTGAATAAATTAAATGAATGTGGCTAAAATTAAGCAATAAACTCATGCAAAACATAAAAGAAGAAAAGAATGCACATGGGCTGTGTTGGGCTGGGAACTTTGAATAGAAGAGATGAAAAATTGTTTTAAAAACTCAATTTAATGATTGGAGGCTCATCATTGCCCCAGTAATTTATTTTAATTTTCTTCTTTTTCCTTCAACAACAGAAGTATGCAAGAAGTTTTATAAACAACAAAAAAGGACAACATGGTATGAACTATCAAACTTGAAAATAAAACAGCGAGTTTGCAAGCAAACTCCTCAAGTTTGATTTGAATAACTGCAATTAATAAATATAGTTCTAAATAGTTATGCTCGTCATCAATCTTCGATACAAACCTCATCATCAAATAAATCAACATGCTCCCACTCCACATTGGTTACAACCGCAATAGAAGGTGATAACCCAAGAAAACAACAATCATATTCATCAGCCTGTGTGATAACAACTGTAAACATCAGTTAACGACTTCTATGTAAAATAGTAGAAATGTGTGCAGGTTGAAACAACCAAATTATGTTGCCAGTGAATGCTAGAATCAGCATGCCAATTGAGAAAATTAAAATAATAATGAGAAATACATATACACATAAAAGGATAATGGAATGTCATACCAAAGAAGCAAAATTTTGAACTGTATATCATTACATACAGGCTATTAAACTCAAGGATATTGGACACAGAAGTACCAAAGGAAACACGGTTGCCTATTCAATTATGCAGTATCAGGAACATCATACCTCCAGGACAAAATTAGGACCATTCCCAGGAATTATATTTCCTTCTGAAAGCTGAAGGAAGAAACAATATCAAAATGCTGACAAATAAAAGTGATGGAAGAACTATAAGAAAAAAATCAAGCACATCTCGTCAGATAACTGATTGATAATACCGTAGTTTTCTGCTAAATAGAGCATCAACAGAAAGTGAGATAAAATATACCAATAAAAGGGTGAATTCTAATCCAACAAGGAGCGGGGGAGCTCAATTGTAAATTATGCAAGAATAGATGAAAGCAACCCACGAGACAGAAATTTTACAGATTTAAGTGTTAGAAATGAGTAAATCTCCCAATTTTGGTGATTTGCATACATACCACATAACTAACATGTATATACAAAGACAAAAGGATTTAGATGTTAAAGATGTTAACGCAATTATATTTCCTTTCTAGTAGTTGTTCTCGCCGCCTCTATGTATTTGTTCCTCTTCTATTCATCTTATTTAAATGTTTAAAACCTAAAAATAATATTAAAGCAACCTAATGAGTTATCTAAGGATAACCCAAGAGTAATCACACTACGAAACTACAGTAATCTAAGGAAAAGAGTATAATATGTATGTGTGTCTATAAGAAATCGTATAATATGCAAGTCTTTCGTACTTATTTATAAGCAATCTAATATATGTTTAGAAGCAAAATTATATATGCTAATACATGGATCAATGACCTTTTTTAAATGAACATACGCTAATCTTTTATATGCATTTATCTTAGCTTTACTTTTACTTTATACTTTACATACGCATCTGTCTCTGTGAGGATCACTGTCAACAAACCTAACCCACCCTTGGCCGATATTGCATCGTCGGCTCCCATCAACACAGCGGTTAGCAATCTACGTGTCGTAATTGTCTAAGATGGAAAGACCCTTACCAACCCTCACCGTGACACAGCGGTTAGCAATCTAAACATCACAATTGGTTGGGGAGGAAAGCTCTGATCTACTCACCCTCGGCTGATATTATCATGTCGGAACAGGGGTTAGTGACCTAACCATCACAATTGTCTTGGGTGGCAGAAAAACTCTATGGGCAAGGATACACTGGTGTCCCATGTCTGTAGCATTCGGGGGTGAACTCTTCATCTGAACATGCACATACAAACATTCACATAAAAGTTATTTCATTATTCATACATACATTATTCTGAAATATTTCAAAGCAATTACTAACATGCATACTTCTCTGTCATGCAATTATTCATCATGCATATCTTTTATATCATTCATAGATCTATCTCATGCATATATCTTATTTATATCTTTCCTACATGTCTATCTTACATGTTTAACATACATATCATTTGTATCATACATATCATGCATCTTCTATATTTTTTTCATGCATATCTTGAATATCTTTTCTGGCATGCATATATTTTCCATCTACCAATATAAAAAATCTAACTAAACTAGAGCATAAATAGTGTCAAACATACATTCTGAAATAAAGAAAATTACTGAAATTTAAAAATACAATTACTCACCGCGATTGCCATGCTAGTTTCTCAATCTTGAGTAATTAGTGAGACGTTGGATAACCTTTCTATTAAGCGCAGTAGCCTATAAAACATAATATTAAATTTTAAGATTCATTTGATTTCTGTGAATTGAATTATGTTGCACGGACACGGACATAGTGATGGAAATGACACGGCACGGACACGGGACACACATATTATTGAAAAAATAGGACAAGGACATGACACGTAGTTGTAATAAAATTATTAAAAATATATGTATATATTAAATAAATAAAAAAGAAAAGTTAATAAATGAAGCACCAAAACCCTAGCAAGGCTCTCAATGGCGAGACCTCGATGCCGAGGCAAATCGAAGGAAAGAGGTAGAAACGAGGAAGACGGTTGTCGGTTGGACCTTGTACCTCAAAAGCCAAAACATTAAAAAATAAAAGATAAAAGCTAATAGGTATTAAATAATAACTACTAACTAATAACTAATAAGTAATAAATTAATAAATGAGAGGTATTTACAGTAAATTTTCAAGTGTTTACATACACACCATCAGATTATTATGTATTTATATATCTTACACCTAAAATTTGATTTTTACATTTATAACACCCAACTATCTTATATTAAATCTAAATATATAAATCAAATCAAATGAATTTTTTTTTAATTTTTATACATATGTAAGGTGAATAATGAAAAAATTAAAATTTTGATGTTAGATACGTAAGTACATAATAATTGAGTAGTATGTATGCAAAACATTCCTAAATATTATATTTTTCTATTTTAAATCTTGCAGAAATTTTTTTATTCATTAATTTAAGAATTGTGCCGAACACGCATGTCCCCAATTTTCTTTTAATATTATTTAATTCAGACACTTCTGCGTCATGTCCGATATGAGTCTCAGTTGTGTCGGAGCCGTATTAGTGCTCTGCATGACACCGTAATTAGGAGTGTCCGTGTAACATAGAAATTGAATTATTTTTCATAAATTAGCATATGGTTATGTTATCTGAAATTTAAAGAGCTGTCATATCTCTTCTACACACTTGCCTCGAATTTCCCGCCTTAGGTAAATAACCTGAAATTTATAAAGGTCTTAGCATTTTATACATTTTTGGCTCATAAAGTAATTAAACCTAAAAATTAACATTCTTACCTCTAAATAAGCTTCTCAGCACGAATCTGCCTTCTCAAAGCTGCCAAACTCACTTTCTAGCACCTCCAACCACACCTCTCCTATGCAAATATCATGTTAGAATCGTTATGAGAGCTCGCAAAAGGCTTTCGACGCTTCTGACACAATCAACACTTCCGACGACTACCAGAATCGAACAATGCACAAAAAATGAGCTAAATCTCAAAATAAAAGTGTGAGGAAAAAAAGAATTACCTCAAATGTCGTGAAAAAGAGATTCACACTAACAAAAATTGCCCCGGAGCCCTATACTTGATCCTGCAACTTCCTTCGTGTCGTTCGCCTCCCTGCTAGTTTGCGGCACTTGCACTGTTGCAAGGGTCGCGAGCTCTAGTTCTCCGGAGCAGCAACAACAGTCATGTGAAGGAGGAGAATTGGGATCACAATAGAGAAGAGAAAGAATTTGGAAGGAGAAATTGAAGCTCTAAACTCATTTGGCCGCACGAAAGGAATAACAGAGGCATAATTCGGTGGGCCACAGTACTGAGGATTAGGAAAATAATTTAATTAATTAAATGAATTAAACTTATAACTTCAACATTTTATATCTCTCAAACCATTCATAATTTACATATGATGTTTTATAGTTCGATTTAACGCGTAGAATTTTATTAAATTATTTCAATTCAAATTTGGCGAATCCAAAAATTGAGGAATATTTTATGTCGTCAAAAATTTTATCAAAATTTTCAAAAATTCATTATTACAATTTCCTCTCCTTATAAAACTGTTCTTGAAATTCATCAACTTCACATCAACTATGAAGATGAAACAAAAGTGATTACAAAAATCTGTTTCTTGTCAAATGATAACTGAAACATATCAAACTCTATGCATCAACATTAGTGACAACATGCTCGTCCAACTCCTGATGGGTTAAGGAATACAACATGCTCGTCCAACTCCTGATGGGTTAACGAATAAACTCTTAGATGTTTAAAACCTAAAAATAATATTAAAGCAACATAATAAGTTATCTAAATTTAATCCAAGAGTAATCATACTACTAATTTACAATAATCCACAAAAAAGAGTACAATATGAATGTTTCTATAAGAAATCATACAGCATGCCGATATTTTATGTTTATAAGTACTCTGATATATGTTTATAAGCAATCTGAGATATGTTTATAAGCAATATTATATATGCTAATAATGCATCAATGACCTTTTCTTAAATAACATACACTAATCTTTTATATGAAATTATCTTAACTTTACTTTTACTTTATATTATATATATATATATATATATCTATTTCTGTGAGGAACGTCGTCAATAAACCTAACACACTCTTGGTTTATATTGTCTCATCAGCTCCCGCTAGCACGACAGTTAGCGACTTACACATCACCATTAGCTAGGGTGGAAAAACCTTTACCTGACCCTAACCGATTTTATCTCGTCGACACAGCAGTTAGCAACGTAAACATCACAATTATTTCGGAAGGTAAGCTCCGGTCCACTCTCTCCTAGCCGATATTATCCCATGGACACGCCGATTAGTGATCTAACTATCAAAATAATTTTTTAGAACATGCTCCTGTGATGGTTGTACAAAATAATATTGATATATTATTGATAAGATCCATCGAACATCAAATAGTTGTATTGATTTATTAAAAGCTTAACTGACATGTATATTCTTTTTCTTTTCTCTTGTATTACAACAGTTTAGGAGTGTGAGTATTCACTAAACTTGAATATCTCATCGTTGATTCAATCTAATTTTTCAGGTATAATTAAGTGTTTAAAGGATGAGTGAAAAAAATAATAATGTTTATAAAAGACGCGAACAATCAGTAACGAGGTAAATTTAAATATATTTTTTTAAATTTAATTTGATTAGTAGTTCTTCCATTCGCTAAATGGAAAATGAATATAAAAAAAATTAGTTCTCACCATTCAACCGTCTGTAGCCGCTTTGGTTAATTCAAGCTCGAGGCCCGTTTGCGACAAAAATAATTCTTCTAAGTATTTGTATATATCCAATTTAGTCACAAAATATCACATTTCTCCAATTCGAGCCCTTGGTTATACAAAATTTATCAAAAAATGGTCTATCTTATAGAAATTATGAAACAAAATTAAACTTAATTTAGACTTAATTATACAAAATTGTTTCAATTTTATTCCTTGCAAGAATAATTTAAATTAATTTTTTATAGTCAATGGACTAAATTAGAGAAATATGACACCCTGAGATTAAATTGAACACAAACAACTAGCCGAGAGTGAATTTTTTTTATCTATTTTTTTCCCCACACAACGTAAAAGCACTCGCACAACTTATGCAAAGCCTTAAACCTAAGACCTCTTGGACAAAAGACAAAGCTTTCCACCGCGAAGGCAAAGTAAGTGGCTTGCATAAAACAGTATGATATTTTATTTTACGGTGCGGTACTTTATTAAAAAAAAGAAATACCAACTGTTTTGATTATAATATTTCTATCAATAATTAATAATAGATTTACATACATACCACTCAATTCTTATGTATTTACTTATCTAAAATCTAAACTTCACCCTTTACATACATACCACTTTATCTATGTATGAAAAGACGTATTTCACTTTTAGAAGTTATGGTGATGGTATATTTCATTTGATATGAATGATTTGGGTGGTATAAATGTAAAAAGTAAAGTTTAGGTGTTAGAAATGTAAATACATAAGAATTGGGGGTATGTACGTAAACGTCCTTTAATAAAATAGAACATTGTGTATAGAGCATGCCAAATCTTTTTTGTTTTGTGTCCCATATCAATGTCCATACATCATAGAGAGGAATAGTTAAAAAATTTAAGGAAATCTAGTGTAGTAAGTAGCACCCATGATAGTTATCAAATATCCCCGTTCGTGTAGTTGATTTAATACCACTCTGCTCAAAATAGCCTAATATTATGGCACGATTTTTTTTTGTCAAAGCCTACTTTAAATAAACATGAGCTTTGGGAACCTTTTGTTTGAAATTTTCTCAAAGTGATTATATAAGAAACTAGAGAAACAACATCTCTAAAGGAGGAAAACAAATAAACAAAAGTAGCTACTAGTGGTTATCATCAACTTGCTTCAACTAAGAATGAATTGTGAAAATAGTTTGGATGATAAATAAAATTTATATGCCGAGATTTAATATACATATTCCCTTATTTTAATATGTCGTTATGTAAACCAGTTCAATAGTTGTGAAATTAATTATCATATCTTCCTCAATGAAGATCACTTAAATGTCTTCGATAGAAAAAGATGTAAGAAATTCATCCCTGATTGGTTGAAAAACTTTTAGTTAACATAATGAGTAAAAGGCCAAAATAGTCCTCCAAATAGTAAGAGGTGTCCAATTTAGTTACGAAGTTACAGAGTGCTTTATATTAGTCCCAAGTTATTAAAAGTTGCTCCATATTGGTCCTAAATTAAATTGTCCGTTAAATTTAATGGTGGTCTACATGAATTGAAGGGTACTTTCGCCTTTTATGTAATTATTCAAAATTTATGTGGTTTCTATATAAATTTGAGTTTTATTAATGTAAATTAAAAATTATAATTTTTCAACAAGAAATAAAAAAAGAGATGTATATACAAATCAAATAAATTTTAAATAATTACATAAAAGATAAAAATACCCTTCAAATTCATGCATGCCACTGTTAAATTTAACGGAAAAGATGATTTATGACCATTCTAAACTCTGGAATTAAATTATACAGTTCTTGATAATCAGGGGACTATTTTGAGCTTTTACTCTTAACATAATCATATATTATAATAACAATTGGGAATTATTTCAAAATATGGCAATGGTGCTAAAATTATTGGTACGCCTTACTAATTTGATATCATTTTATCTAGACATTACTAAAGTGAATTCATAAAAGAGAAATTATCACAATCTCAAAAAATGTTAGAAGGAGAAAAGAAAAATGGAAGTGCAAGATTATAAGTAGGCATGAAGAACATACTTGTGGAACATTAGCTCCAATAACTGCAATAAGATCATCCCCCATAGCATTTAGAACATACGAGAGCATTGCTGTTGTGGTACTCTTTCCTATAAATAAAGAAATAGTTAGCATAAATCAGGTTTCTTTCATTGTGAGATAATTTAAAATTTTCAACATGTTACATCAAAAAAGGAAATATTATGTCTAAATACAGGTTAATCCCACTCTTGTAAATTCATCCTTTTTATCATGTTGGGATTGTAAAAATGTCATATGATTAAGCAAACATTTAATGCAAAAAAGAAATCTAAGAGAAATTTAGAAAGGCTGAATTGATGCTCCAAGGCAGTGTCTCTTCCCTTGCTAAGGTGGACCCGATGAGAGGTGGTGCTCCAACATATTCTGCTCTAAGGTGGTTGATATCTCCGTATATTTCTTACCCTGTTCCTTATGCCTGCTTGATGTTGCCCTCTCCGTGCTTCTCCTCCCTGCTGCCGCATCCTCCTTGCACCTTCTTCACTACTACTGCCATCCATGCACTAATCCTACCTGTTGCCCCTCCCTCCCTGCACCTTCCTTGTTGTTGCCACCCCTTCCAACGCCCTCCCTGCTTATTGCCACCACTTCTGTGCCACGCCCAGCCTGTTGTCGCCCTTCCCAACACTCCTCACCGCTGCTTAGCCTCCCACCGCTAGATAGCCCTTCAACTGCTACTTCCCTAGCCCCCGCCTTCCCACCTCAAACTAGAGGGTCTTTTGTGTTCATGCCGTATTTTTCTTATTTCAAGTGCCATTGATTGTAATCATTGTTGCTTTTGTGTAATAATATTTGCTTCCCCTATTGAGTTTTGGATTAACTCCAGTCTCATTTGGTATCAAAACTAGCCTAACCCTAGTCTTATCTCAAAGTTTTTAACACTCTCCAAAACCCAAACCTACCTTTCCCACACACCAAAAAATCCATTTTGTTTTCATTCACATACCCTCTCCAACATCCAAAACCTAACCATATCACCAAGGAGACACATGTCAGAACTTACTCAAAATGAGATGCAATGAGAAATCCGTCGACTTCAGCAAAGGCTTACAAAGATTGATTATGGGGCCTAAGAGGAAATTACCCTTGATTGTAATACAACAAGTCGAAGAGAAGAAATAGAAAAGAATGAGAACCCCTTCCATAATGAGGGCATCAGTAATGAAGACTAGCCATAATGCTTCAAAATTCAGTACTAAAGAAAGCCAAGAGAGGAGGCAGCGTATATAGGGTAGAAATTTCAAAATGAATGTGAATCTATCAGAGTTCAAAGGAGGAATGGATCCAAATAATTTCATAGAATGGTTGCAGTCAATTGAGAGAATCTTTGTGTACAAAGAAGTGCAGAAGACCAAAAGGTGAAGCTCCTGGCCATCAAATTGAAAAAGTGTGCTTCCATATGGTGGGAAAATTACTTAGGCAAAAAAGGCAAGAAGTAACAAAATTACCAAATGGGACAAGATAAGGAAGGAGATGCAGCAGAAATACTTACCTCATCACTACCATCAAGATATATTTATGAGACTCCATCATTTAAAACAGAACGACCTATCAGCTGAAAAGTTTATGAAACAGTTTGACCAGCTTCATAAGAAATGTGAGTTGGTCGAGCAAGAGAAACAGATTATTGCCTGATATTTGGGAGACCAGAAGCTAGTTATCATTAAAATTATGCAACTGCAACCCTATTGGTCACTGGGAGATGTCCAGACCTTAGCCTTAAAGGTAGAGAAACAATAGAAACAAAACAGGCAGCTGCCCTCCTTCAAACATCCACAACACCTCCAGCTACCAACAATGGTGCATCAAGAGGAGTTAGGAAGACCAGGCAGTTAAGTGGCAAGACAAATCTAAGTGGAAATAAACCAGAGAAGAGTAATTTGCCTAGTACAACTCCTGTCAGGAGATGTTTTAGATGTCACGACTACGAACACATAGCCTCCAACTACCCTACGAGCCTAGTTTTTTCTTTCATCGAGCAAGGTGTCGTCGAGAGAGAGAGGAGAAAAAATAGGAGGGTCAGGAGGACGAACTTCAACTCCAGGGAGATGAGGGAGAATGCTTGTAATAAGGAAGGTCCTATTGACTAAGCCAGACAAGAATCATTCGTGCTAAGGCATAGCATTTTCTGGATCAAGTGTACCGTAAGAGGGAAGGCCTGCAACCTGAGTATTGATGGTGGGAGTTGCAAGAATGAGACATCCACTCTGGTGGTGAAGAAATTAGATTTGGCCACACAAAAGCATCCTAACATATCCCTTACCTAGATAAAAAAGGGAAATGAGATACATATCAATCAAAAATACTTGGTTGAGTTTTCCATTGGAGATCAACTAAAGGAGCAAGTGTGGTGCGACGCGGTATCGATGGACGTTTTCCATATTTTATTAGGTAGGTTGTAGCAGTTTGACCGTAAGTCTAGCATGATGAGTTCAAGAACATTTATTGATTCAGGAAGGATGGGAGACACGCAGTTCTTTTGCCCGTTAGGGACTCAAGAAGAATAGACATCATAAAGGAGATTGTAGTACCATGAACCACCATTATGCAGTTGGTACAAGAAGCTTCAATGGCAATGACTTTAGTCTTCAAATGAGATACCAGAGTCTATACAACCACTGCAAGCTGATTTTGTCCTGATGACGGACAACCTTCCAAAAGAATTGCCATCATTGAGGGACATTCATCATGACATTGATCTCATCATTGTATCAGTGTTGCCAAACAAACCTACCTATAGATTGAGACCTGTAGAGTATGAAAAATTACAACATGTACATGATGTTGTTGCGAGGGGCTTGGTGAGAGAGTGTACCAGCCCGTGTATTGTCTCCAACTTGATGGTGCTTAAGATCGGATTGTGGAGAATGTACACTCATAATCGAGCTATCAGCAAGATCACCATCAAATATATGTTCCCTGTACCTCCCTTGGATGACCTCTTGGATCGTTAGCATGGAGCCATTGTCTTTCCTAAGATCAACTTATACAACAAATATTACCAAATCAAGATGAGACTAGGGGACGAGCGGAAGACTATTTTCAAGACCCGAAATATTATATGAGTGGACAGTCATGCAGTTCAGGTTGTCCAACTAGCCCAACATGCTCATGAGGTTGATGAATCAAATGTTCTGGGCTCGCCTCGAAAAGTTTGTAGAGGTATACTTTGATGATATCTTGTATATAACATATCTAAAAAGAAGCACTAGCATCGCCTGAGCACGACCTTTCATTTGAGGTTTTGCAATTGGAGAAACTATAAGCCCATCCAAAAAGTCTTACTTCTTGACAACACAAGTATGCTTTTGGGGCTAAATTGTGTCTAGTGCAGGCACTCAGATGGATCTCACAAAGATCGAGCTCATCGTGAGTTGGACACCTCTAGAGTTTTTTACCGTGTTGAGATGATTTTTTTGGGGCTGGCATCATTCTATAGGAGATTCATCAAAAGCTTCAGCACCATCACGACTCTCTTAACAAAACTCTGAAAAACAGAGAACTTTCAGTGGACGGATGCGGTTCAGTCCAGTTTTGATACTCTTAAGGAGAATGTGACTTAAGCACCAGCACTAGCATTACCGGACTTCAACCAGTTGTTCGAGGTGGAGTGTGCACCTCCAATGTGGAGATCGGAGCAATGTTGAGCTAGAGAAGCCACCCCACAGCATTTTTTAGTGAGAAATTGAATGAGTCTAGGAGGAAGTATTCAACATACGACAAAGAGGTCTATGCGATCGTGAGATCTCTTAGTCACTGGAGTTACTACATACGGGCGAGTGAGTTTGCTTTATTTATGGATCATGAGGTGTTGACATTCTTGAATGGGTCAGAACAAGCAGAAAGGTCGACATGCTTCATGGGTGGAGTTCTTGGCATCGTTCCAATTCGTGCTTATGTAGTTTTAGTTGTAGATGCTTTGAGTTTTTGGCATAGTTTTAGATCCTGAGACAAAGAAGATGGCTAGAGCTTATAAAGGACTACAACCGGGTCATACAATATTGCCTTGGTCGAGCAAATATAATTGTTGATACTTAAAATCCACATATAGTGCAAATTGAATCATTACTCAAGAGTTGTAATTGATTAAAAAATAGATGTCTTGTAGTTGGAATTCAGAAGACAAAGAGATAGTGTGTATTGAAATCAGTTGATCAAACAACCAATTCTGATAGATAGAATCAAGGTAGCTCAGAAAGTTAACAATGAATATCTCAAACTCCTAAAACAACTTCAATAAAAAATGAGGTCAGATATGACTATTGATGAAATTGATATTATCAAAAATATGGGCACATACTGATTTTGATTTGAAATAGAAAATCATACATGAAGCTAAACATTCAGGCTACACATTCATCTAGACAACATCAAAATGTACAAGGATTTGAAATTGATATTATGATGACCATATATGAAGAATGATGTTGTACAATGTGTCAAAATATCAGATGTGTCAGACTATAAAGGCCGAGCATCAGAGACTCAGTGGATTACTGCAATCATTGTCTATACCTAAATGAAAATGATACGAAATTAATATGAATTTTTCCTAGATTCTATAATAACTGACTTAAAGAAACGAGGTAAAAAATTTAACAACTTTAAAATATACACCAAATTTTACATCATTCAGATTTCAATCGAATCAATTTTATAAAATTCTACACGTCAAAGTAATCAATTCAATATAAAACACTATATTTGAATTATGAATAGATTGAAAGATATAAAAATCAAAAGTTATAAGTTGAATTAAATCTAATTAGCCATAAATCATCCCTCCATCCCGCATTATTGTTCCCAACCAACCTACCCTTGCGATATTTACCCTTGTTTGGCGTTAACTGGGGGGGGGGGGGGGGGGGGGTTCTCTCCAGAATCTTTGAATTCCTATCCCACTTCTCGATTTCGTCCGCTCGAGAGGCCTCTCCCAATTTCTTCTCCTCTCGGAAGCTACGTGATTCTCCACAGCAGTAGAATCACGATCTGAAGCGGGTGAGCGACCCGTTGAGAGCCGTAGCTCTCTTTTCAGGCTTAGGGGATGAATTCTAATGGTTTGAAACTCTCA